AGTCAACCATCTTAGAGCCGATCGACTTCGGTAGCCAGTTCTTGTGTGGACGAGCCGTATAACTGTTGGAACGAGTCAGCGAAGGATCAAGACTGACTGATGAATGGGCGATTGAGCTGCTTGYCTGGTAGYAACGTTAAAAAGCCCTCCTATTTTTTCCCCTGGCTCTCTAAATATTGCTTGTAATAAACGAAAGTGAACTTCGTCATTCCAGCCAGCCTCTTCATGCTTGGAATCAATGCAGTCTGTAGTCCAGTGGCAAACCAGCTTGATCTCTTGAGCTGACGGGATACGACCCGGGAGGTTGGCAAAAGCATTCGAGTCTTTAAAAGCCAAATCCCAGTCGTCCAGATCRTCTTGTTTTATATCGTGGTTGTGCAGAATTTGGTCGCGCAGATCTTCAGGAAGGATGCCTTTACAATTACCAATGCGTCGCATAATGCGTAAAAGAGACACCGCCTCTGAATTTGGAAGTGCTTGAAGAACATCGACGTTGAGTGCTTTTGTCTCTAACCCACTCTCATCAAGCCGAAGTTCCAGAAATTGTCTCTTCAACGGCGATGTAGAGCGAGTGCGACCGGAAGCGCTGGAGCTTGCGTGCGATAGTGCCTTGACTGGGTCATCCGAGGTTTCATATTGAGGCCGAGGTGTGAGATCTAGATCTGTGTGTAGCCTTTGCCTCTTCTTCGTGGGCGTTTCAGGGCCCTCGGCGTCCATGCTGAGTACTGATGGCGGTGGGCTCAGTTCCTGTACTTGTACTGGCTTGCGCTTGCGTTTGCAGGCAGGTGATGCTGATGCTGCTATATCTAGATCTTGCGACGGATTATAGGAATAGATATCGGGAAGACTGAGGACCCACGCGGTTACCCTGCTTTTGTTGTCATGATACATGGTTTTCAGTTCATTCTATATTTTGTTATTGTCGATGTTTGTTTTCTGACTTATTTCAGTGGAGTAAGGATATTTACATTGTCGTGCCAACCTAGAGTTTGGTGCCTGAGGCAATAGCTCTAACCCACTTCACTCAATCTGATCGGCTATGCACCGCCACTCCCGTCGCTGCGCCACCATTTCAGTCATATCAGCATAATTGCATTCATTTATCTTCAAATTCAATATTTACACTCGCATCCTATTCGGTATTAAGCACAAGATCTATATGCCAAAGGACATAGAATTTTCCGCTACTTGATGGCAGGGTCTCTGGCTATCTCAATTTAGAATATCAAAATCGATCCTATACTACCGACAACAGTGATTTGCTTCAGCATGATGCTAACGAGCATCTCAGAGATTAAGAGCCAAGGCTAGTGGTCCAGAGTCACCTCGCACGGGATAACTTCCGCGTAAAGTCAGCAGCCTCCGACGATTTTCGCGCGTTACTGGATGTCACATCTTGGCGAATTCTTATTACTGCCAGAAAGCTGATAACAATGCTATCATAAACATCGTCACATAACTTGTGATTGAGGAGCGAAACCATCAGAATAAGGCAGCGACGAATGAGTTGAGTCGGCATTAACCAAAAGCATTTAACATGGGTATGTGACGAGTGCGCATAGAGCATTTATAGTAGATCTACAAAGCTGAAACCTAAGTAGAAGCTTAAATATAAAGTATCGTTATTTTATGATCTTCCCCGCGGATAGAATGATGAGAACATGTAACTTCCTAATAATATACATAGAGCTGGGTAATGCCATTGTAATTAATAAGTTGGTTTGTCTTGTCAGATAATAAGCAATACCACCAACCACATTTTTCCGTTAGCCTTGCTAATGCAGCCACAGTTGACAAATCCAGATTTAGATACCTGTGAGAGAGCGCAGACACCTGAATGTGAGTTGTTTATCCCCTGTACGCCTCAGGCGAGAACATGCAGCAATATCTCATTTCGTGTGCTGACAGTGTCGTCTGAGAAAATAGAGGAGATAAATTGAGGACACACTAATCACACCGGAACGATTATTGCGGCACAGCCTGATATGTGCAGCATTACGTGGTGTTGCCCCCCCACCCTTTGCGTCAGTAAGTATGATTATGTAACTTTTAGTTATCGCTCGAGATTTCAATTCGTATCCATCACTCGTGTGTAACCTTTTGGAGTCGGTCGCATTTTTTCAAACTCGTATTGAAAGAAGGTTTATGATGGGTGACGACATGGGAAACTCCCTCCTCGATATTCGGACAAAATACGCGTCGAAAATCACGACGCAATTGATCAATATCTCAAAAAGCAAGGTGTCACAACAAAAGTCCGTTGAGTTTCTCAAGAAACTCAAGTGCCTATATTTCGAGGCTCCATCGCAACCCGATACGGATAAGCCTGGGAACTCAGCGCAGCCCATTCTAAAATTTGAAACCATTGATGCATTCACCCAACGGCGTTACGTTGCTCTTTCATACACATGGAAGCCGTCTTACGAAGAAATAGGTGTTCCCAGCGGTGGTTATCTGGTTGAGGACATCTGTTCCAGCAACCCGTCACCGTCTTCTGTAAGGAATACGGTTTTCAGTTGCATGCAGGCGATGGATAGGGTCTATAGCTTGAGCTGTTGCCCAGTTACATTGTTGTCGCGGACAATCAAAACCTCAGAGCAGCTAGAGCTGCTCATTGAAATCCTTTCTCAGGATTTTGTCGTACATGAAGATGGCCAATACTGGATATCGAGATCGACGACTCTAGAAAGAGCTCATCGAGCCCTTGATCTTCTCAACTATATCACTTCAGATCCCTGGTTCTCCAGAGGATGGACTTTCCAGGAAAACTACCGAGCTGGTTCGAAAATGACGCTTCTTATCACGCATGTTGCATCCATCAGAGCACAGAAGCCATCACACTATCTCGGAGCATTAGATGGAGAGCTTTGTATCAATTCTTGCAACTTTTACGAGCAAGTAACAAAGCTCTGCTTGGCTTACCAAAGTCATCAGCCGCGGCCATATTACTGGGAGCGTATCATTTCGAGGGCCGGAATGTACAAAGTTCTACTTCAGTCCGATGATAGTGACGGCGATAGTGCTGACGGCGACCACTCAGCCCCAGTATCAATGTCCCCTACTATCATAAAGGATATAGCCAACCGTAAGGTCGACAGGGAATGGGATCGACTAGCCATCATCGCCAATTGTTGCCAGTACATTAACCGCTTGGACAGCACGAAGCTGCAAGGCAAGCACAGCCTTGATTTGTCTTTACTTGCACTCTGTTTGATAAATGGAGAAATCTTCTCTAATCATCCCAAGAACAGCTGGGATAACATATGGACAAGAAGACTCCCCATCGCCGATTTCTTACACACGCACTTTTTCCACGGGCTACGAAGCTCGGGGAAAACAGGAAGGCTTACCTTCAATAAAGGCTGTCGATTTTCAAATGTTATCCTCAGGCAAGAGGGGGTGCAGACAGAAGGCTATCTCTGGCGATTGGACGGTGAGATTTCGACCACCAGCTTTCACCGGCATGGCAGTAGGGGAAAGCGATATCAGCGACGACTGCGACCACTTGAATGGCTGGCCCGCCGGCTGGCTGCACAGTATCGAATTCTCTCCCAAAGAATCTACAACATCCTCAATCTTAGTGAGCCATTGACACCTCCGCAACGATGGCAGCTTAGTATGGCTTGCAAAATAGAAGAAGCTATTAGCCAGGGAAAAATGCTATGTACGGCAACCGCAGCTTTTCTAGGTCGCGGGCCTTTGCCTGTTGCTATTTTTGTCATTGGGCCTGAAGACGATGATGATGACAGCAGTAGTGATGCTGCTGAGTCGTTGATTTTCGATCAAGCGTCTCACGTATTCACTTCTATTCATCGTAACCAACAGGGACAGCAGTCTTTTGAGTACAATGATCTGAATAAGCATGTCTCTCTCGAAGTCGATTGCTGTTTCGGGGAGAGTGCTCGGCAGATCCCTCAACTTTATACGAGACGTTGGATTCATGGCTTGTGTTTTTTTCATGGTCGTTCCCCACATTCAGTCATATTCCCCTGGCCCGCCTCATTACAAGGCCTCTAATAGGTCCATTGATTGTATCTAATCTGAGTAGTATGCAGAAGGAATCAAAATCAGCTGCCTATCAATCTGCTCTCTTGAATCTGGTACTGAAATGACAATGCGAACATTAAATGTATTTAGTCTATTGATCTAGATTGGCATATTCATGTTGTGTTGTATCGAACTCTGCTGCTTAAAATTTTAATTACCATGTTGGTGCTCCACGATATCACTGGTATACTTAAAGGTATTTACTTATGTGAGCAATGCCAGAAGAAATGAGAACTTCAGTCAATAGAACTCGCACAATCCATCTTGAAATTTTAATTCGAAATTGAACCGACTTACTGGATGTCGCAATTTTGAGCGACCCTTGATATCTGGCGAAAAATGAATTATCAAAGCGTGGGCAGAGTTCTTGCCAGGGGAATCGTCTGGGGTAAGAGGTCTCTGAACCAAGTTACCCTAAATCCTTTATCTGTCTGCGTGCCGTCAGTGTGAGTCGTTTTGCCATGTACATTCATTTCATGCTCAGCGATAAAGCTGTCGCATGATCAGCTCCATAAGAAAGGTTATCACGCATTTTCAATTAAAGGCTCCGTGAGGTCTCCAAAACACTGTCCCTCTTTCAGTGAAAGAGGAGCTAGCAGGGGTACGAGCCAATGAGAGATTGTAGAATTTCCTCTTTCAGTGAAATTGGGACGAACAATAAGGATGCACGGATCACCGTGACAGGAAACGGGCCCCGTTTCGCGATTTGGTAAACATGACTTGGACAGTAACGGGGCCCGTTACGAGTTTTGGAAATCCATGTCGGTTTTTAGACTGCTGATTGGCCTAAAACCCGTAACGGGCTCCGTTACCGGCTAGAATACTAGAGTAGAATGGTCAATGGACACTACTAGAGACCGTCGCCAGATTGTTGTGAGGGTTAATGACCGATGTTTTGGTGCATTAGACAAACAAGTTCGGGAACGGGCTTGTCAAAAAAAAGACGGTAGTGGAGTTCAGATCCACTGTGGGTATCGTTGAATGGAGTCATTTTGCTGCCTGAGGCCGGAAGCTTGGAATCTAACACCGAGGGAGCCGTTCTTAGCCAATCATATGTGCCAACAGGCCCACCAGTAGCTGAGTCTTCAGGCATTTGCGTCTCCTCATTTCACCTCTTCCATCATCACAATCATCATTATCATCAGCCTCGCCATCGCCATCATCAGAAACGGTCACGACCAAAGACCCGGTGAATCGTCACTACAGACCGTATAAAATTCCGATTTGTACCCCCCGAACGAGCGTCTGCCTCCTTCGGTGGAACAACCGGGGACTGTAGAAGGGGCCTGGCTCAGTTCTGCCAGCTATGATCTGGAGGACTGACACTTGGTCTGCCAGCTATGTTCTGGAGGCCAACAGGTCGCCTGTTGACGAAGCTGGTTCTCTTTGGTCTGTCTTGTGCTGTGCCGTGCGGTGACGCGTCGTCCAACTAGTAAGTCTGCTCAGCGTCTCGTCCAACTAACCGCGTCATCGTGTCGAACACAGACATGTCGGATATAGATATACACAAGTCCACGCCCGCCGTCATTGAATGGAAATCGGGCGGTGCGTCGCGTTCTTTAATCGAGCCAGACCCCAAGTTTGGCAATATAACCTTTACGACGAGTTTCGATGCGACGTGCTCGTTCTTCGAATTGAGCATACCGATCAAGATCAAACACACGCGACTAAAGGACGACAAGGACGGCAATAACAGCACCTCAGCATTAATTCTACGTATCCACGGTACTGCAGTCAATACCCTGTCTTTCGCATCCACCACAACAGCTCCCGACGCTATACAAAAGAAGCTCACATCTCGTGCATCGCGCCTCACGCGCTTGGACTTTCGACTGGACCAAAACCTTGATGTCCTCGTCCCCAAGAATGCCGAAGTGCCCCTTGTCCCAACTCGCGGTCAATCGGGAAACGTCCTCGATGCGATCCGCCAACTCTCCAATACAACCTCCCTGTCCGTTTACATTCAGGGCGCTGTGCTGTCAACTGAAGCATTGCAATCAGTCAGCAACGCATGCAGCCAGGGCCTTGACAAGACAGGTGACAGCGACCAGCATGACTTGGAAAGCCTGTATGGTGGTAAGGGGGCCAAGGTTGTTCGTCTATCAGCTGAGACTGGACAACTACCTCCATCTTATAATGAGATCACGTCCCCGCCGACGAAATCTCTCAGCCCTCCTAGCTATCAGCGAAAGCGACGTCGTCAGGATTCTGAGCCTGAGCGCGGTGATACCAGGGCTGAGCCACAGCCTCTTCTCGGAGAAAAGGGAAAGCAGATGCTCATACAAATACAAGACCAATTAAAGAGACTAGAAAGTGAGAATCGGCGTCTAAGAGAAGAAACAAACGAGCGCATCAAGGGGCTGGAAAGCGAGAACCAACGTCAGAGAGAGACTATCGACAAGCTACTTGCGCTTGTCGAGAATCGGAGCGATGACGTTGACCACATCGGAGAACAGACCGCAGAGAATGCTGCGGATCTGGTGACCGTCGATGATGAATTGACGCATATTCGGCATGACGTCGACGAGTTGAAAGCCAAAGCCGATTCTATTGATAGGGGTGACCTGGTAGAGACAGTTACGAGCGATGTTCTCGAATACTTCAGGATACGCCTCTGGGGGAACGACTGAAGCAAATATCACCAATTTGGACAAAATATATGTGCAGTTCATGATGACTGGGACACCTCACTGCATGCTGGGTAATCTTACATGTTCCTCGGGCAAAGTGAGACCAACCAGCGCTCCAGCCAATCTATGCCAAGCCCCGATGCCTTCTGTAGCCTGCATTCCATTCCGTCATCGTTGCTCTTCTCTCCCGCCTTGTCAGCCTTCGACGCGTCAGGTGCAGGCAACAATGCCCGTAAACAGCGACACCCTCGAATGTGTTGGGTGGAATTTATGTTATGTATGTTATGTTATGTATGTTTTTCGTCCGGGGGGCTGTAGGCCCTGAAAGTCCCCTACTGGGGCAAAGGACGTGCTGAGCTAGAGGATCTGGGATCTATCTATACGCTAATTACAAAAGTATCATTGGCCACGAGGATGACTAGTCATTCGCTGCGCGAACTTAGTCTTCCCCCAGATCCTGATTTTTGCAGACGCGTTAGCTCGAGGCTGTCGCAAGATGTACACGGCCAGATAGGTCAATACTTAAGCAACAGCAGTTTATTATATAGGGGAGGTGATAAACATGGATAGCAAGATCTGCAGGGCGGCCCACCCCGAGTGAATCTACCCAACGATATGGCCTGGCAGCTGTGATATTGCGGAAATAAGCCAACCCTGTGGGCCCATTTGTACAGACGATTCTGGTAAAATCGCTTGCCATTGACTACTAGGTCTATAGGGATAATAGACCTACAGGTAGTATTAATACTGCTTAATTAAGGCAGCAATTATGCCATTAAGGTCTGCTAGGGAAATGTAACTTCTGACGTGTTCTATCCTCTAATGGCCGTCGAGGTCGCTAAGTTCAACCTCCAGAATGCAGCAGAAATATATATCTGGAACAACCAAAAAGCAGTTTCATACTATTTAGGCACACAAGTTTCCAAATGAACTATAGAAGAACAAGAATTCGGGTTATAGTCAGGAAAGTCTAAGTGCTAACTCTCTTCTGGAGTGTGTGAAATTTGAGGTGCTTGTCTGATGTTGCCAGACACGTCGTCTCCATCCTTCCCATCCTCAGGCCTAAACTGATCCAACATTGTAAACCAGTAACTTTTGAAAGAAGCGCAATCTTCTTCTTCGAGCGTCCGATTCTGAATTCGGTTCCTCAGAGATTTCACAATTCGGTCACATCTTTCTAGAACTGTCATTCGAAGGTACCCGTGAGCTCCACGATAGGATGATTTCGCCATGTTGTACCCTCCATAAAGAACTCCAGTCAGGGCTCCAATGTCCCAAATAGGGTCGTAATTTTTACTAGCAACAAAGCACGATCCCGTAAAAAACGTGAGCCTATATTAATGGCTCATCCATATTGGTTAGAAAAAAGGTCTCAAGATTATCTCATAAGACCGGAAGACTCGCTTCTGGAAGGGTTGAAAGGGACTACTAACGACATTGCCGCTTTGGCAAAGTGATTTCTAACCTCAGCTGTACTCGAATCGCTGGACTTGAGTATGTTGAGGATGTTCTCCATAGCAATGAGATCACGGGCGGCTTTGTCATATTCGACCTTGAGGTGCCATTGGTACTGACTGTCTCCATTGACGGCTTGATGGCCAAGAACAACATCTTTCATAGCCAGGTTAGCAAATGTCTCATTTGCGAAAGTATTTCCAGGCGTCTAGCTCACCCTGACATTCCATAGCTATGGTTTCGTCATCTGGGCCCTTTAGATAATACAAACGTTCGCGCACTTGATTTAGATGATACTCTGCGGATCGCTTTCTAGAATCGAATTCTTGCCATACTAACTCGACGCCGAAGCCGCGGTAGCTCTGAGATACCTGGCAGTGATCATGGGTCTCTCTTGTAATGACCCGGTAATCCAACGCCGAGGCAGCATGGTGGCGGTTCAGGTCGCATCTTTCGGTGGGCAATGCCGTATCAGACACGGAAGAATGCGCCAATTGCTCCATTTCAGGAATACTCGATATGGATATAGTAAGCGCAATAATCTGAGCTCCTCTTCTTTCTTATAAAAAAGCAGAAAAGATAGAGAAACTCTCTACAGGATAAGGCAGCCTTGGTCCTAAAATATCATGCATCATACCGGTGTGCTGATCGGAATTCGTGTGAATCACGTGGCTATGGTTGATCACCATTACCGCATGCATGTTTCACCCAACATAACTATTCTACTGATCTCATAGGGTCGGAAGCAAAGCCACACTTCCATTACATCACATATAACAAGCGGTGAACAAGCGGTTGGACAACAAGTAAGCTGCAAATTCCCAACAAAACAACTGCCAATTTTTTCACAGGGTGGCGGGCTATGCGGTCTAGTGTAGGAGGCAGATGGTGTCGTACAATACATTATCTATTCCTGTACGTTACGAGTAGGAGCTCTTTCCTCTACAATTACTGAATATTAGATCGGAAGACAAAGCTTCAATTTGATTCGGAATCGTCTACTTGTGCTTCCAGTGATCTAGAAGCCTATTTCTAAGAATGAAAGAACAACTTCCCAATTATCAAGAGGCACTAAACGTGTCTACCTTCAATTCAAATGAATTGCTACTCGTTCGCCTGGAGGTCTGGCACTTTTTCGACCTCGGTAGATCGCCCATCCTCAACCACCAGTTTGCCAGATCTTTCAGGCAATCCAATCTTGACCATTGGATTGTACGGGAAGTCCCGGTTACTGAGCCTGACGATCTGGCCAGTCGTGATACCTTTGTCCCCGTTCAAGTAATAACTGTCCTTCTTAGCCCTATCTACCCAAGATAAGAAAAGTCAGACCTGGTCCGTCGTTACTAACATTTTCCTCGCATTCTCAAGGCCGACTTTCAACACAAACGCTTCACCGATGATGATCCCCGCGGGAGGGCTCAATACCATGTCCGAGACCTCTTCAGGCGAATCGCCCCGGCGCTGGTATTCCGATTTTTTCTTGAAAATAGAACTAAGCCGCACTTGATGAGTCTGGTCCCTCTCAACGTACCACAAGATCGGAAAAATAAATATGAACAACTCTTCGCCATCAGTCATTTGAAGATCAACGTTCACCTGTTCCTTAGACCTGGTCAACTGGATGAAATCGACGCCATCGAAGTTCTGTATGCGTCCTCCATTGTCAAGAAAGGATATTTTGTTATACCATTGCTAACATTACAAGACTTTCCACTGCTACTAATGCTCTATCGGCATTATCATTTATCGTTGACTTTTTTATAATGATGCATGCCGAACAGACAAATCAATCGCAGTTCACCTCGATACCCACAAGCGACGCGACTATTATTTTCGGTCTAGCCGAATTATTCAGTAGTATTCAAACAATTGCTCCATTGGTTAGCGAGGTAGGCAGTCCTAGTTGTATTCGCTCATCTTTAAAGCATCTAACGGTTTCAAGCTACAACAATCATACGAACGTAGCATGACATCTGCTGCAGTGGATCAGCCAGAAAGATTAAATGCCTGGCAACAAGCCGCCCACCCATTTTTACAGCATCAAACCAGGTTTTCTCGTATAGCAACCACCCTTGAAAGAATAAAACATGGTGAAGGTGCGCATATCTATTCCTTCTTATTTTAAAAGAGCTCCTTCTTGAAGAACGACTTGCTAAGTAAAGGATGTCCAGCCGTGACCCCGCAAGCATTGTACACAACAGCTCAAGACCTCCATGCTAGTAGCCTGGAATTCAACAGAGTAAGAAGCCGCTTGAATTCACATTTATCCACTGAGCTAGAAAAATACAAGCTCATGGAGAAGTGGCCAAAAGCATTCACAGGTGTTGGCGTCGTAGGCGTGGGGGCTGGAGCTATCCTTCTAGCATCAAACCCTGCAGGCTGGGCTGTCACTGCAGCAATTTTGGGCTTAGGTGGTGTCGTATCAGCGGCCACTGGGGGTTGGCAATGGATGAAAATTTCCAAGAAGAGGAAAGCAATTCGAAAAGGTAAGCTTTCCTTTGTTTGAATAAGCAAATATCAGCCACGACCTATTCTGACGCTTGAACAGTTCAAGAAGACCTGAGAGACCTGGCCGGCGTTTTCAATGAGGCCCGGCATGATATCGCCATATTTATCTGCTGGGCTGTGCTTGGTATTGAGTTGAACCATCTAGGTGATGCGGAGAAGAGAGCTTTCCTGGAAAGTTTCGCAGTTGACGTCGATGTACTGCAGTACCAAGGTTATCGCGAAAGCCTTGTTAAAAGTGGTATTGATAAAGTCCTCAAGTATTGCAATGATTTGGCCACGGACTTCCATCAAATGGTAGAGTGTTGTGGCCTCGAAGTTGATATTGCCGAGACCAATTAACGATGAGCAATTGGAATATTGCTCTGTAGCCTCAGGTGGGGATTTATGTACTTGAGATATATGATATTTTTTAGGCGATCCTAACAAGTTGGACATTGTGAAATCTTTTGTGAACTCTGCTTGATAAGCAATTACGTCGGAAAACCATCTCTCAATGAGACGCGAGAAGCGATAGTATTCTGGTATGATATGTGACATTTTCGATGCGTATGGGGATGATGAATTGCGCGATGCCGTGATGATGATTAGGACAACTGTTTTGTTCTTCGCCATTATCGGGTGGTATGATTGGCACGGGTTTAACCAGCGAATCATCGAAGGGTTATTCCAGTTGTAGTTAGGCTGGCTCTGTGACTAAAACCAAGGCCGTAGTATACTCGTGGCAAGCCCGCTGGCTGCAGCAGTTCTCATCTGCTCTACTACAGCGTCCCTTCTCGAGAGTAATCATACCCTCCGACTGCAACCCGAAGACATCGAAGAGACATATCCATCACCTTGGTTTTCTCCCATGTCGTTAGCCCCCCAGAACGTTGAGCTCGAATCAACTCAAACCCGGTTGTAAACTTGTTGATATTGTGCCAGACGTAATTAACAAAGATGGGAGTGCGAACTGCCCACAGGTATGATGGATGCCCTGGTAGCTGTTCTTGCCCGAAGCTGGCTTGCCGCCAATGCTTTGCATACCATTGCGAAGCTGTGGATTTAACGCCAGAAGCCGTAGATCTGAATTCTGAAATGGATATGTGCGAGCAGCGTCTACGATCTCTTTAGCGAGATTGTACATTTAGCCATAAAGAATACCCCCACGGCGGTGTCGAGACCTTGCAGGCGTCAACATAGTCATAGCGCCAGTATCTCGAAGCATTGACTCATGGTAAAAGTTTTGGCCGGACTTAGGAATATTCCCGTCATAGAGCTGACTGAGGTGGTGACGGATGCAACAGCGCCGCCAGAGGTATGTCTGAGGTTCASGTGATGGAACRTCATCAGGCATTGGGCAGGTCTCTTTACCCACATCAATGTACAGCCAGTCGCTGCGTATATGGGAGAAGTCTAGAATGCCGTGTAGTTTGTCTTCAAAGCTGTTCATGGCCGCCAGTAGA